AAATAATAATTAAATAATAAAGAAAAGTAGGAACTTGTGGCCAGTAAACACAGAGACTCATCACCCTTAACTAACAGAAATATGTACAAAAACATTTATATTTACAATATAAGAGAGCAGAATAGCAATATATAAAACACGGAGGAAACGCAGATTAAGACACAAAGCAAAATGCAATACGGATCCCTGAACAGGGCAGTCATTTTATAGAATTGCTCATTTATTTATCACCAATATTGATAAACAAAGACAGTGACTGTGGGTCTGACACAACAACACATATAAAGCAGACAAATACGTGATCAAACTAATATTTTGTTTTAATGAGGTTTACCCCTCATGAAAAAACGTTATCCCACTTTTCTATCCAGTTAACTTACTGTCAGTGATAACATTCTCCCCATTTCTTTTCTCTCCCAGTCTCTCCTTTCTGCCCCAAAGGAAAGGCACGCACCATCATCATCTAGCTGATATATTGTAGTTACCAAATTACATGCCAGATATAACCGTTTGGGAGATATGCCCCCATAGGTGGGGAGTAACCCTAATAAAACGTAACTTTTAATGTGTATAAAAACCTCAAATCTCTATGAGGATCACATAGTGTATCTATATTAGGAATACATCCTACAAACCTATAATATAGCAAAATATGTATAAATGAATAGAAATAGATTAAATTAAACAGTGTAAAAAGCAAAAATAATAAGATCAAATCAGGAAAACATCTTGGAACATGGAGAGATCACTACCACGCTATATAGAAAACCATCAGCTACCAATAGCCTACTACATTGGCATAGCCATCATCCCAAACACCTGAAGATTAACATACCTTATGGGCAATATTTAAGAGCCAAGCACAATCCTCACAAATATCAAACTTTGAAAAAGAAGCCAAGGAACTTAAATTGAGGTTTAAACAGTTGGGATACCTGAATAAGGTCCTTAAAAGAGCCTATCAAAGGATCAAAGCGAATTACAGATCAGTAAGCCTACACAGGCCCCCATGCCAGAACCCTACTGAAAATAGGCTTACCAGATTCATTTATACCTATGATAGGAATTGGGTAACAGCCGAGCAGAATTTCCGTCGCAATTGGCCAATCTGACGGCATGACTCCTTACTCAATGATCCCATCCTCCGACATCCTTCCATGACATTTAGAACGGCACCTAATCTAGGAGACCTACTAACTCAAGTTTTATTCTATACTTATTTTCAATTGTCTTTTATTTTTCTACCTACTGATTTAACTTTACAGTGTATATTGGCACCCGTTTTCCTTCCTTTGCTGTTTCACCATAGTAATTAAGTTTAATAAAACAACTAATTACATTGTGGACGTAATAGATATAGTCCGACATACACATAATTATTACTGACTCTAACAAATGGGGAGTTTTTTGCTTATTAGTTCTTAGCAGTAATTTCATTTAATAAGCTTGAATATGGAACTACAGACATCCATTTTCGAGACGACAATATCATTTGTAAATGCAAGCACTATTTCTCACATAGACTTTACAAAAAGTCCTATACACAATAATTCACCATGGTAGGAGGTTTTTGCCACCTCTCCTTCCAAATATTGAAGTTTTGCCCTCTATTTTTTTTAAATATGATTCTCAGCTACCATAACAACTTTGTGATTATTCACTCTTTTATCAACTCATCTAACCGTTTAGTGCATATTCGGTACCTCTAGCTTCCGTTTTGATTTACCATCTTTATCATGTTCCATCATAGATGAATCATTTAGTGAACGAAATAGATATTGTCCTGTATCCTCTAGAATGTAAGCTCATTGAACAGGGCCCTCCACCTCTCTGTTCCTGTACGTCGAGTTGTCTGGTTACAATTAAATGTCTGTTAGTTCACCCTTTGTACAGTGATGGCTCTATATAAATAATAAAATAATAATATACACAACAATCATTTTTTTTTAAATTTTTTATACTATTCTAAGGGGAGTCACTATTGGCTCTCTAGGATTTAGGAATAATTAATCACAATATTAATTTTCCATTTTAATCACAGATATTCCCGTAATAGTTAATAATATTCATCCTGTACAGCATTGGTGTTCAATTCAGGCCCACCAATAACAATATTCCTCCTCTGGCAATTCTGTAATAATTGTCTCATCAACTATCGCTATGTTTCCAAGCTTCCACCAATATTACTATTATCATTTTGTATATCAAACCAAACAGTATTTTTGATTTATTCCAACGTTTCTTGCAGTTTGTAATCTTCTGAGTGCAGAGCAGATTTAGCTCAAATCATTACTTTTACATATATTTATTTCTCATCTTTTTATTTATTTTTGCCGCTGTGTGACACACACTACTTGTATTGGTAAGACCCAACAATTTATTCTCAATAGACTACTGCCAATTTAACATTATTTCCTGGCATTTACCAGGAGTGGTAGGTAAAGTGCAATAGTACGTTTTTGGTGCCTTTACATTTACGGCTAAGTATTTTTCTGCATTCATATCATAAAGACCCTATTAGGTATGTATAGGGTTAATTTAACCTGAGGTTTTTAGCACCACCCACGGGAATTCCACCCACGTTCTGATTGGTCAGTGGGTATCCTATCAGTGACAGAGGCACTATTTTTAAACCTTTTCGGTTAAACTTTTTGGCGAAACGCGTGTCGGGACTTCTATGTATGGTGTTGGACTAAGGATATGGGACGACACTTAGCCTATACTATCTGAGATAATACCACCCATACCAAACTTTTATATATTTATTTTTCAAAAAAGTACTTTCTGTTGCTTGTTTGATTTTTCACCTCACCCGCAAGGTGTTCTAGTTAATTATTTTTTCATTATGTATTTTTTCTAAGTTATTTTTTATTTCTTCCAAGTGAGGGGAGGGGGGTTTAGCTTTTGTTAAGGGGTGCCATCGAAGGCACAGCAGCATAGAGACGGCATGTATTTGCTTATCTATACTCAGGAATCTTATTCCGCTCTTACAGACGACCTGCAACATTGTTACCTTATTTCACTTTGCTTTCCCCCTCCGGCCAATTTATTAGTCACTGTTATTTATCGTTTGTTACTTTACCCTCTTATATTTAATTACCAATTGTAAATTACAGTATAATTCCTCTCCACAGTTATAGAGTAGATAGTCTCTGATTCTTTCTATTTTCCTGATTTGATCTTATTATTTTTACTTTTTACACTGTTTAGTTTAATCTATTTCTATTAATTTATACATATTTTGCTATATTATAGGCTTGTAGGATTTATCCCTAATATAGATCCTCTATTTGATCCTTGTAGAGATTTGAGGTTTTTATACACTTATACACATTAAAAGTTACCTTTTATTAAGGGACTCTCCAGTGCCAGGAAAACAAACCATTTTCCTGGCACAGCAGGTCCCCTCTCCCTCCCACCCCCCATCCCAAGTTGCTGAAGGGGTTAAAACCCCTTCAGTGACTTACCTGTATCCAGCGCCGTTGCCCCTCAGCGCTGGGTCAGGGACCGCCCACGCTCCTCCCCCGCCGGACCTATTGTGAATGCGTGGCCGCCGACGGTGGAGACCCAATGCACAATGTGCATCAGACCTCCCCATAGGAAATAATTGAAAAATGCTTTCAGTGCTTTCCTATGGGGATTTCAGCGACGCTGGAGGTCCTCACACGCTATATGTGTGCTATAATCACGGAAGTGCCCTCTAGTGTCTGTCTAGTAGACAGCCACTAGAGGAGAAGTTAGCTCTGCAAGGTAAATATTGCAGTTTCTGAAAACTGCAATAATTACACTTGCAGGGTTAAGGGTAGTGGGAGTTGGAAACCAGACCACTCCATTGGGCAGAAGTGGTCTGGGTGCCTGGAGTGTCCCTTTAGGGTTTCTCCCCACATTTGGCATATCTCCCAAATGGTTATTTCTTGTGTTCTTTTTGTTAATTATTAATTTAATCTGGGGGTTGTTGGGCACTCCTCTCTGCTAGGGGAGTTTTCTTTCAGCCCCCCACCCACACTCCCTCATACCTTCCCCTCTCCCACCCACAAATACTCCCCTCTCCCACCCATGAATACTCCCCTCTCCCACCTACAAATGCTCACATCTCAGTTTCATGTGCATACTCATGACTTTTGCAAACAAAGAACTTATGCTGAGAGTCAGTGAAACAATAATGACAAACTGGTTCTGAGCATACAAATAAGAAAGAGCAAGTGTAACAATTGATTGTATGTTATGTGTGTGTGTGTATATATATATATATATATATATATATATACATATATATATATATATATATATATATATATATATATATATATATATATATATATATATATATATATATATATATATACAGATACAGTTGGATCAAAAGTTTGCATACCCTTGGAGAATTGGTTATATATGTATATTTTTTAAAAGAACATGAGTGAGCAGGCAGGTTATAACAGAATCATAAAACAAAACATGGCAACAAAAAAGAAAATTAAATGACCACTCTTCAAAAGTCTACATACACTTAGTTCTTAATACTGTATATTGCTCCCTTTAGGATCAATGACAGCATGCAGTCTTTTGTAATAGTCGTCTATGAGGCCCCTAATTCTTGCAGGTGTTATAGCTGCTCATTCCTCTTGGCAAAATGCCTCCAGGTCATTCAAAGTCATTGGTCGTCTTGCATGAACCTCGAGTTTGAAATCTCCGCAAAGTGGCTTGATGATATTAAGGTCAGAAGACTGTGATGGCCACTCCAGAATCTTCACCTTTTTCTGCTGTAACCACTGGAGGGTCAACTTTGGCCTTGTGCTTAGGGTCATTGTCATGCTGGAAAGTCCAAGAGCGTCCCATGCGCAGCCTTCGTGCAGAAGAATGCAAATTGTTTGCCAGTTTTTTTCTGATAACATGTTGCATTCATCTTGCCATCAATTATCACAAGATTCCTTGTACCTTTAGAGCTCACCCACCCCCAAAACATCAGTGAGCTACCACCATGCTTCACAGTGGGGATGGTATTCTTTTCAGCGCCGACAGCACCCCGTCTGGGATCTCTATTGGGAGGGCGCTAGATTTGGTCATGTTGGCTTTGTACCCCGATACCGCTCCGTAGGCCTCGAGGACGCCCTGCAAGGCTCTCATTGAGCCGGGGGGGTCGGTGAGCGTCAAGAGCACATCATCCGCGTATGCTGAAACCAGGAACTCTCTGCCTCCCGCTCGAACCCCCCGTATATCTGGATGTTTTCTAAGGGCTTGCAGTAAAGGTTCCAGGGCAAGCACGAATAGGAGCGGGGATAAAGGACATCCCTGCCTGGTTCCATTGTATAGTCTAAACGGGTTCAGAGGGGCTCCGGATATTTTCACTTGTGCCCGTACATTACTGTACATGGCCTTAATCAACTTAGTAGCCCGTTCAGGGATCCCCATGTGGGACAGTAGTGTGAACAAGTATGTCCATGTGACTCTGTCGAACGCTTTTTCAGCGTCTAGTGAGACCAGCATAGTTGGGGTGTGGGTAACCTTTTGTTTCCAGATGATGTCTATGTTCCTGTGAGTGTTCTCAAATAACTGCCTACCCTGTATAAATCCCACTTGGTCTGCATCTACCAGTGTATCTAAGAATGGGTTCAGTCTGGTCGCCTGAATTTTTGCTAGTATTTTCATGTCTTGGTTGATGAGGGAGATCGGTCTATAACTACCTGGGATGCTTGGGTCTTTGTCAGGCTTTGTCAGCAGGACAATGGTGGCTAGTGACATGTCGTGGTCTGGGGTGTCCCCTTCTCTAAATGCGTTGAAAAGTGTTGTCAGATGAGGGGTGAGTTCTTCCCGGAATTCTTTATAGTAATTCCCATCGAACCCATCCGGTCCCGGGGTTTTATTTCCCTTAAGGGCTGTTATGGCCTGTGCTACCTCCTCTTTTGTGATTTCAGCTTCTAGAGCTTCCACTCCCTCCTGTGTTAGCTTGGGCAGCCCTAAATCTGCTAGAAATTGTTTCGTCAGTGCTTCTTCCTCTGTTTTCCGCGTCTCAGATCCTGGTGAATGGTTATATAGGGATTTATAGTAGTCCGTAAAGACTTCCGCTATGTCCCGGGGGTTAGTTTTGATTGAGCCGTCATTGTGTCTGATGGATGTGATGTGTCCCCCCCTTTGCCTAGGTTTCAGGACCCTAGCCAGAAGTGTATCCATTTTATTTGCGTGCTCATAGAAGGTCCGTTTGGACCATGTGATGGATTTGGCGGTGTCGTCGAGGAGTAGCTAACGTATCGCCAGCCGTATCTCCCCCAGTCGTTTAGCGGTCGGGTCAGTCGGGTTGCTTTGGTGTTGTTGTTCAGCCCTCTTGAGGTCGGTCAGGAGGCCTTCTAGCTTTTGGAATTTCAGTTTCTTTTTGGCTGTCACCAATTTAATAAGTGTTCCTCTAATTACTGTCTTATGGGCTGCCCACACTGTCGCTAGTGCCACGTCTGGGGTGATGTTGGTTTCAAAATAGCTGTTGAGCTCTGTTTTGATTTGGGCTACAATATCCTGGTCTTTCAATAAGGAGGCATTGAGTCTCCATGTCCATGGGGTCGCCTCGCTCAATTTCCCTAGTGTTAGTGATATATCTGCATGGTCCGACCAGGTGATGGACCCAATGTCTGAGCCAATTATTTGTGGCAGGCTCCTATTATTTAGCAGGAACATGTCTATCCTGGAATAAGATTTGTGGGGGGCTGAAAAGAAAGTGTAGTCCCTTGTGCTCGGATGATGTGCTCTCCACACGTCCACCAACCCCGCCCCGGCCATAAAGCTCTGTAATAGTTTGTCCTGGCTCCCCCTCCCTTGGGATCTCTGAATGCCGCTGCATGCCCGCCTATCTATTGCCGGGCAGGGTGATGCGTTCAAGTCTCCCCCAACAATAATCATCCCGTGGTGTATGGTTTGGATTTTGGTCTGAAGCGCCTCCCAGAAAGCTGGCTCTGGGTGGTTTGGAGCGTAGACATTAATTAAGTGGATAGGGTGGGAAAGTATGGAGCCCGATGCCAGGACGTAACGTCTCTCCGGGTCAGATTCAGTAGACGTGATTCGTATGGGGCAGCTGTTCCGTATTAGGATCGCCACGCCATTGCATTTGCCCAGTATCCTGGCCTCGTATGCCGAGCTATAGGTGTGGTTTTTTAATGCAAATTTTGCTTGTCTCTGTAAATGCATCTCTTGGACAAAAGCTATATCGGTTCCCAGCCGTTTGAGCTCTCTAAATAACAAGCGCCGTTTAGTCGGGGAATTTAGTCCCTTGACATTAAGTGAGGTGATTTTAACTGCCATCCGGCCATTCCAAAAGGCTGCTGTAGCTCGCACCCGCCAGGGGTCAGGGCATGGGTCTTCCCCCCCTTGAAACGCCATCAGGCGAAAAGGGAACACCCAGGTGTAGTTAATATTCGCACTGCGTAGTGCCTCAGTTACCGGCCTCCATTCCCGTCTCCTCTGCAGGGTGCTGGGGGCCAGATCTTGGTACACTTGCAGATCCTTCCCTTCGTATGTGATTTTTGCCTCCCTGCTCTTGCGTAGCAGGGCCTCTTTGGTCTGGAAGAAGAGGAAGCGTATTATGATGTCCCTGGGGGAGTTGATGTCGGTGCGCCTGGTGCGGAGGGCCCTGTGTGCCCTTTCCATATGCCATCTATCTTCGGGGAGGTCTGGCAGCAGAGGTTTAAAGATGGCCATAAGCAAGGCCGGAAGCGGGCCCTCCTTCTCTCCCTCGGGCAGGCCGCGCAGGCGGAGGTTGTTTCTTATTGACCTGTTGGCCATATCCTCGATGGCGAGTTCGGCCTCCGTCATGCGGGCTGCCAGCCCATTGATACACACGGTCGCCGCATTGTGGGCCTTAGTCGTGGTTTCCAGGCGCTCCTCGAGGCGAGCAGTGCGCGTCCCCAGGGCGGCAATTTCGCCACGAAGGACCGTCGTGGAGTTGTCGATTTCCCCCGCCAGGTATGCTTGCACTTCGGCTAGGTGCTTTAATATTTGTGCCGTCTCGCCACCTTGGCGCATTTCCCCCTGTACCTCGTGTGAGGAGGGTGAGCGAGGCTGGGGAGGTGAGGGGCTCCGTCCGGCGCCATCTTGAGGCTCTGCCGTCCCGGTCTTATTGGCCGACATCAGGTCTAGGACCGAGGTTCCACCCTCAGTCCCCTTCTTGGTGTGCTTCTTGGGGTGCCTTTTGTCCATGCTTGGTGTTGGGTATCAGTTTTCATCGAAAAATCGTCCAAATTGCCGCTAAAGTATGCTAAAAAAGGCGCGCTGGGGCCGGAGCTCTACTCTGCCACGTCCAGCTCGTTCCCTGGTCAGGCCACGCCCCTGTATTGTGCTTCTTGAAACAACCACACCATCTTTTTCCAAAGCAGCCTATATTTCTCCTGAGGTTACCTGTGGGCTTTTCTTTGTACACCGAACAATTCTTCTAGCAGTTGTGGCTTCTTGGTTTGGTATCAAAAGATCCCTGAATTTTCCACTTCTTAATAGGTGATTGAACAGTACTGACTGGCGTTTCCAAGGCTTTGGATATCTTTTTATATCCTTTTCCATTTTGATAAAGTTACCTTTTGACAGTTCTTTTTTGCTTCCCCTGGCTCAGTATCTAGCTTGCTCACTGCATCCACGTGAGAGCTAACAAACTCATTGACTATTTATATACAGACACTAATTGCAATTTATAAAGCCACTGGTGTGGGAAATTAACCTTTAATTGCCATTTTAATCTGTGTCTCTCACCTTGTGTGTCTGTAACAAGGCCAAACATTCAAGGGTATGTGAACCTTTGATCAGGGCCATTTGGGTAATGATGATTTCTGTTATTGTTATAATATAAAAAGGAGCCAAACAACTATGTGATAATAATTGGCTTCATATGATCAATATCCTTCAATAAAAGACAGTTTGTTTGCATGATCAGTCTATTTATCATAGCAAAATAATAATGTTTATGTGGTGCCAAATGTGATACATTCAATATAAATTGGGAATGCAAAGGGCTCAAATCAGTACCTTCCAATTGCTCTGTGACAGCCTGGATAACACCATCATGTGATATGGAGGTGTACAGGCTGTTAAGATACGTAGTTCACAGATATCTTATACCCTTAACATCATTCAGGGAGCCCAATTTGTTTAATAAATCAGTTGTGTTCTTAATAAACGATAGTGTTTAGAAGGACAAGGGGCTAAAAACCACAATCCAAAAATTGTGAAATAGGTTGTAACACATAAACTGATTCTGCAACTGTCTTGGTGGACTTCTTGTGTACTTTTGCCAATATATAGAAAAGTGGGAAGATAGGGAAATCCTTAATAAGAAACTTTCTAATAGTGTCCGCAATACGTGCATTCTGCCTGTGCTCATTGACTAATCATACTTTTAGCTTTAATATAATCAATGGGGTCCCTAAGAGCCTTACTGTATGCAGTGACATCATGAAGTTGATGTAGTACCTTCTGATTATAAATAGAGAAGTACATAATGGTCAAAATATCTGCAGGATTGATGACGATGTACTTGCTTCCATTAATTAAACAATTACCCTGTTCTCAGCCATAGTCAGTTTCTCCTGTTCTCAATCCCTTGTTCAGCCAGTTAGATCAATGTTTCAACTGACTCATTATTTTGTGGGAACAAGAGTCCAGGTGACCCTCACTTTGTGGCTGGGATGCCTTCAGGAAGTTAGTATAACCAAACTTTAAATGTGTAGATTACTTAAGAACCCATGAAGTTGAGAAACAAGAGTCAACATATCCCCATGACATGTGGGTATAAACCCCATAACATTATTTACATGTTGTTTCTCCACTGCTTTCAGTGCTCTAGAGAGATATTGACTATCATCTTCTATTTACTGGTTCTGTACAGAAGATGGTGTTTCAGAGATTTGCTGGTATTTGCGGGAGCATCACCCCGTCGCCTCCTCTACTTGGTCTTTGACCCTGACCTAAAGAAACAGTAATATTTCCTTCGGAAGGTGCAAAAATAACTATTAGTACTCTGTTTACATGTGTTTTATGGTACTCTCTCTTATGCTATACTCACACCAACGGCCATATTAAAAATGTCAGGTGCACACCTGCTCACCCGTCCCCAGAAAAAGAAAGGCAGTTGAAGTGATCTAAATGTTTTAATTAACTTGACATTGTTGGCATAACAAAAAAATCTAAAATATGTGTATTAAAATTTGCCAGCTCCATATTTGTCGATGTGTATATATACACATTTGTGTTAAGGGCTCATGATAGTACAGAAGATACAAACACTGATAAGTGTGGGATAGTGTGAAAGAGCAAGTCGGTTGTGGTGTGCCGGAACCGACGATGAGGTAGGCCTGCAAATAAAGAGGGCCCACCAATAAGAAATGTATGAGAAAAAGGAGTTAATAAAAGAGGAGTGGGTGGGAGGGTGATGCAGCGCTGACCTCGAACGGTATGGAGCCAGGTAAGGGGTGTCCCTTAAGTAGGGAGAAGGTGAGTCATACGCCCCTCCCACAATTACAGGCCAAAAGGCCTTAATACTTGTGTTAAGGGCTCATGATAGTACAGAAGATACAAACACTGATAAGCTATATCTGACAGGCATACAACATCACAATAAGTGTGGGATAGTGTGAAAGAGCAAGTCGGTTGTGGTGTGCCGGAACCGACGATGAGGTAGGCCTGCAAATAAAGAGGGCAAAAGTAGAAAATATACTTTATTACGAAACGAGCAGTATACATACTTCAACCAGACATATCTTGAAAGGCATTTCTAACTTCTTGTACCGGGTTAGGTATGTATCTAGAGTATGCAGAAGACTTCCAGCGCCCTAGTGACTTGATAACATGTACTGGAATGTTTGCACTGGACGCTGTGGAGGCCGCCCCTATGCGGAAGGAGTGGCCCGAATAGTTAGCTGATTTTAGGCCTAGTTGTGTAAGTAGGGACCTGACGTGGGTCATGAAGGTGGTGGTAGTGAGTACCGAACCTTGTAGACAGAAAAGTGGTTGAGATGGTGATGCTTTGAAATGCTTAGTATAGGTGTCCAGTAATGTGACGGGGCACCACACGTTGTGGGTAGGATAGTATCTAACCTCTACCGGGGGTGCGTGTTGATTGGTTTTGGAGTGATGCAGAGCTAAAATATAGTAATCCATGTGTTTCGTTAAGTGTGAATGAAGCAGAATGTGAGTGGACTGGGATGTGTTGATGGCGGTAAATTCTCTTGGTCTCAAGAAACCATAAAAAGCTACGTATATGGCGGTTTTTATAACAAGGTTTGTGTTGTTCGCAAAGGGTTTTGAATCTAGTAGGCTGGATAAATCCTTGAAGATATTGAAGTCTATAGGTAGCCTTTGCGCGGTACGTGGGGGTTCGGATCTCTGGATACCTCTAAGGATGTTTTTTATCTGGTAGGAGGACATGAAACTTGTGTTGTTTGGTTGTAATGTTAGCATGTGATGTTGTATGCCTGTCAGATATAGCTTGATTGTGTTGTAAGATAATTTAAGTTTGAGGTGGCAAAAAGAAGCAAAACCTAACAAAGATGTCATGATGAAAGGTTGTGTGACGTTGTGCAGTGACAGGAATCTTTTAAATAGAAGGAAAGTCCTGTCATATGTTCTCCGGGTATTGGTGGACAGTGCTAATTGTGCCAATGTCCTGCTATGTTGCATAATAGCTTCTAGTCCATGACTAGCTGGTAGAAAGGTGGAGTGGTCGTGGCTGTACGTGCGGCTGACGGAAGTATTTGCCGAAAAGCCTGAAAATTGAAACGAGACAAATTGTCAGCAGCCGTGTTACAAACACCTGGGACATGGACACAAAACAAGAAGAAATTATGGCATGCAGCCAGCCAGGTGAGTTTCCTCAAGAACCTCATAATGGTCAGTGACTTGGATCGGCCTTTGTTTATGATGTGGCAGGTAGCTTGGTTGTCTGAGTGGCAACGTACTGACGAACCTGCCCATAGATGCCCCCATGTCACGGCAGCTGCCACAATGGGATACATCTCAAATAGAGCTGAGGTAGTGGAAAACCTTCCAGGTCCTGTACCTCTGGAGGCCAGCTACCCCAAAGCCATTCATTCCCGTAAATTGCTGCAAAACCTGTGGTAGACGCCGCGTCTGACCAGATGGTAGGTGAGGAGTCAGACAATTTAGGGAGAAACATGCTTTTCCCATTCCAGGTGGTCAAAAAGTTTCTCCACATAAGTAG